CTGCCCTTCTTTGGGATTGGGATGTAGAGTGATCTTTTCCAATCCTCTGCCCACTGCTGAGTTTTCCAAACTTGCTGGCATATTGAGTGTAGCACCTCAACAGCGTCATCTTTTAAGATTTTAAATAGTTCGACTGGAATGCCATCCCCTTCACTGGCCTTGTTGTTAGCCATGCTTTCTAAGGCCCACTTGACTTCACTCTCCAGGATGTCTGGCTCAAGGTCAGCAGCCGCACTCTCTGGGTCATCCGGGACATCCAGTTCTTTCTGGTATAATTGCTCTGTGTATTCTTGTCACCTCTTTTTGATGTCTTCTGCTTCTGTGAGGTCCCTCCCATTTTTCGCCTTTATCAAGTCCATCTCTGCACAAAATGTTCCTTTAATATCTCCAATTTTCGTCAACAGATCTCTGGTTCTTCCTTTTCTATTATTTTCCTCTATTTCTTTGCATTGTTCATTTAAGAAGGCCCTCTTGTCTCTCTTTGTTATTCTTTGGAAGTCTGCATTCAATTTTCTGTAACTTTCCCTATCTCCTGTACAATGTTACATTTAAATACTTATTTAGAATTCATTAAATATTCTGTAGATGTCAACATCTAGATTTGCTTTTTAATCAAAAAGCGAATTGCTCCAGTCCCACTGCAAGTAATCATTTACAAGGAAGTCATCATCACTGATATTGAGCAGAAAAAGTAAAAGAACTGGAGGGAATCAGTATTGTAACCGCATAGTTCCTAGGCTGCAAAGTGAACCTGTTTTACAAGAGTATCTGAAGGAAATTCAGTGCCAATCTGATCTAGCCTAACAATTCTTAACGGGATGGCAGTAACACAGTTCATATAGCTTACTTCTTATATCAGCCACCTGTATTACAAATATTATCACTGTTGTATCTCAGTGTGCTTTGGAAATTATGGTAGTATTTAATTTGGCACTAACTGCAAAATGTAAAACACCACGCAACAAACTCCAAAAGATTATCCAAAAAAGTGTGTAAAAGATTATCAGTAAGAACTGCAACAATAAAAAAAATAAAGCGTTTTGTTTCCTATACAGTGGACCCTCGACTTACAGATGGCTCGACTTACAGACTTTTCGAGTTACATACTTCTCTGGCCGCAAAATTTAGATTCGACTTGCAGCCGGAGAATCGACCTACAGACCAGAAAAAACCCCAAAATGGAACAAAAATAGAATAAAAACTGCCAGTTATGGGATTAATCAGTTTTCAATGCATTGTAGGTCAATGGAGATTCGACCTACAGACTTTTCGACTTGCAGCCACCGTTCCAATACGGATTGATTCCGTAAGTAGAGGGTCGTAAAGCGTTTTGTTTCCTATATAGAGCTTTCTCTCACTCCCCGCCCCCAAAGAGAATGTTCTTGAAGTTCGGACTCTTTGAACTCACAGAGTACGGATTGATTCCGTAAGTAGAGGGTCCACTGTATAGAGCTTTCACTCCCCGCCCCCAAAGAGAATGTTTTTGAAGTTCGGACTCTTTGAACTCACAGAGGCACGGCAGGTCTTTTTTAATTATTATTTTTTTAAGGAACAGAACTCAACAAACTATGATCATTCATTTAAAATCCTTCTCTCCCGCCTTTTACTTTTAAAAAAAAAAAAATGACATTCTCCCATTAGAACGTTATGTTTCCCATGACAAAGTGCCAGCTTCTTATAAGTAATTCTGAGCATTCTGCAGGCATTCTGTTTTGGTTTATTTTGTTTGTGTGAGAGAGAGATTGAGTTTTAAATAGCTTGCGTGATTAGAGCTTGTGGATATATTTGTATGTGAGCAAAGGCTGGGCACAGAGCCACTTGCTCACTTGGAAGCTCCACCCTTTGCTTCCTTCCCCTCCTTCCCAACTGAGGAATTAGGGGTTTTTTTTTCCAGAGAGAAACACCAGGGGGAGAACATGCCTTTAGTATGAAAGAATAGTGCTGAGTAACCGGGGCTTCACTGTCACGCAATGAGAACCAACTGTCAATCTTTCCATGCAACTGACAGAGGCCTGGCTCTTGTTTAAGCCCTTGCGTGCGAACAGAGAACCCATATTCCCTTATGAAATTCTCCATAACAACAGCTGTTAAATATTGATGACGCCTGGCTTGCTCTGGATGTTGTTCATGAAGGTTAAGCCTTCTTCATGTAATGGAAGCGAATTTTGTAGTTTTATCTGATATCTGGATTTTTCCTCAGTTTCCAAGCAATGTCTTTACAAACAAAAAATAATAATTTACTAGAGGAAGGAGAGGAAATGGCATGTTGAAAGAGCATCTTTGCTGAGAAAACATCTTTCTTCGCATGAAAATAGAGCAGACACAGAAAACCAAAGTATGTAGATTAGTTTTATTTGCTCAGATTTCCCATATGCTGGATCTGCTAAACTCTTTAAAAACTGTAATTTAAAAAAAGAAAAAAAAATCACAAAACCTGGGAGTTTGCTCTGATGGAGTTGTGCAACACAAGAATAATTGTGAACACTCTTTTTTCTACACTCCTTGCTGTAGCTTTAGTTTCCTGGCTTTTAGTTTCTAGTATCTACTCAGATGTAGGTCAGTTGACTTCTTCCTAGGCAAATGTTTATAGGATTACAACCTAATTGAAAGAAATAACTATCATTCTGCTGAAAGGAAGATTCCTGTGTTCAGTATGTTACGGGAGATCTACATATAGGAGTGTTAGCACAGAGGTTAAAATTAATAGTTATAAATAACCAGTGCTTGTAATGAAGTCCTTTTTGCAAAAACAAAATATCTTAAAAAAGAAAAGCGGGTGCTCCATTTATTAGACTATTAGAACAAGTCCCAAATGCATCTTGGCCAGTCGTTAAATTCAGATTGAAGTAGTTGAAAGTGAAATTCCAAAATGGAGACTGCAACCTAGTAGATTTAACCTGAAGGTGTGCAGACATTGCTTTCTTTCTCTATTTCCACATATAAGAGAATCCCTTATATCACTTAGCACCTTTCCTATTGTTTTATATAGCATATAGATTTCAAAAATATTTATTTATGCATTTCACAATCTTGAAGCTACATTAGAATAAGTATTTATAGAATTTCAGTTGTGTGAATTCACTAAATCTGTACCACAAGCCTATATTTGTAGCATACTGACTTTAAAAAAAAACTAGTCTAGTAACTTTTCAATACTGAGAATCTGAAAAGTTAATTTTTAAAATACAAAATTCTAGCTATAAGTAGGAGGTTTTTCTTTGCTTGTTTCTTGACTGCTTGATTTAATCAAGAACCAAACTGATCATTTTTCCTTTTCCAAGAGAAGATGTGAGACCCAGAAAAGCTCTCCATGTTTTTCTCTGCACTAAAAAGAGGATTTTTGGGTTTGTTTTTCTTTCTTTGTTTAATTAACTGCACGTCTATGCTACCTTTCTCCCAGGGAGGGGATCCAAAGGTGTGTATGATGGGAATCCCTTCAATGGGACATGGGTTCATCTTTTAGCCCA